TGTAGTCCGCCGCGCTCGCGGGGCTTGATGGGAGGTGTAGTCCGGGGGGTGGTCCTGCCCCTCCCTTCCGCCCGCCGTTAATTAAATAATTAAATACTGCTTAAGTTAATTAGATAGTGAAATCGGTTAATTAGATGGTTTAACGGCGGGAAAGAACTCGCGGGTCTTCGAGTTTAAGCTGTGCCCCAAAACCACCTTGTCCATCAGGGCAGAGCTCCGAGTGCTGCTGGCACTGACCAGCCCAGGGAAGGCCCTCGCTCATGTCTTCCATAAATAATTTATCCAGGAAATCTTGGAATCGTCCAGGCTGGAAAAGCCCTCGAGGGTGGCCAAGTCCAACCGTTCCCCCAGCAACGTCGTGTCACCACCAGCCGTGTCCCCAGGTGCCACTTCCAGGAGTTTTTGGGGATGGGGACACCCAGCAGCAGCCCAGGGAGCTGTGCCGGCGTTACATTCCCTTTCCATGGAAAAATTCCTGCTGATGTAAACCTGAGGCCGTTCCCTCTCCTCCAGTCCCTGGGAGCCGAGCCCGACCCCCTTCAGCCGCGCCCTCTGTCAGGGGCTCGTGGAGATCCAGAAGGTTCCCCCAGATCCCTCTTTTCTCCAGGATCGGCATTCCCAGCTCCCTCAGCCTCTCCAGGACCTCCAAACCCTTCCTGTCCCTCCCTGTCCCCAAAGGGGGCGTGGACTCCACAGGCGTTCGAACTACAACTCCCATCATGCCCCGTACCGGAACTTCCGGTCCCACCCGCGCCATGAAACCGCGCGCCGCCGCCGCCGCTTAAAGGGGCCGCGCGCTGTGCGAGGTGAGGGGGGCCCTGAGGGGAGGGGACAGATTTGGGGGTCCCGGTGTCCCCTCGGGGGGTCTCAGTGTCCCCTCGGGGGGTTCCGGTGTCCCCTGGGGGGGTCCCGGTGTCCCCAAACCTCCCGCGAGGAGGGGGCGGCGCTGGGCTGGGCCTCAGCCCCGGCCGCGGCCTCTCCCGGCCCGGGGCTCGCCCTCAGCTCCGATCCCATTCCCAAACTTTTCCTTCCCTGGAATTCGGGAATTCTCCCCGCGCGGTTTTACGGGCAGCGTGGGAAAGGAATAAATTTGATTTATTCCCGCTTTTCCCTGCTTTTCCCTGGGTTTCGGGACTCGTGGTGGTGCAGGACATCCCTAGGAAAGGTAAAGGTGTTGGGATGAGGATCCTGAAAAAGCGACTTCCAGCCTCTTCGAGGCGTCAATGTCCATGGAAAATAGGGAATAAATGGGATTTATTAATCAGGAATCCACCAGCGACAAGGAAAATCAGGAAGGAAATGGGATTCATTCCCGTTTTTCTGGTTCTGGAGGGTTTTCCGGTGGATGGGAAGGAGAATTTCTGCTGTTCCAGAGGGTTGGGAAAGGTTTTTAGGGATGGATCGGGATAAAAAGGAGCCCGGGATAAGCAGGAATAACAATCCCTGGCAGGAATTTCCCTGGAATTCTCTCCTGGAACACCAATCCCAGGCAGGGGAGAGGCAGCAGAGCCTTGGAAAATCCCCAATTTCAGGAAAACCACCCCAGACCGGGAATCCCAGAGCCCCTTTAATCGAGGCTTGTCCCCCATTCCAGGGATTTCCAGTATTCCCAAAAGCTGCGGCATCCCAGAATTCTGGGGGATTCAGAATCCATGGAAAACAAGGATTTCTCTTTCTCAATCCCATTTTTGTTTGGTTTTTTTCCTCCCCAGATGTTTCCCGCTGGGCTCTGGCTCTAGGATGTTGGAGAACCGAGAGGAAGTGAGGAGCTTTCCTGGTTTATTCCCAGATTTGGGAATTTGGGCCAGTTGGAATTCTTGGGAATTCCATTTCCATGGGAGTCCATGGGGCTGAGCCCAGGGGTGGCTGGGAATGGGAATGGGAATGGGAATAATGGGACTGGGAATGGGGCTGGGAATGGGAATGTTTGGCGGTATCTGTGCCATCCTCAGCAAGCTGGGAAAGCAGGAATGGGGTGGATCCCGGTTTTTGGAGCTCGCCAGTCCCATTCCCGGGAAGCTGGAAAATCAGGGATGGGGGTAGATCCCGGTTCCTGGAGCCCCTGTTCCCATTCCTGCTCCCATTCCCGTTCCCATTCCCGTTCCCATTCCCATTCCCGCAGGAGCTGACCACGGTGCGGGTGCAGGATCCCCGTGTGCAGAACGAAGGCTCCTGGAATTCCTACGTGGATTACAAGATCTTCCTGCACGTGAGCTGGGAGCGGGGCTGGGATGCCCTGGGATGGGAACATCCCCCTTTTCCAGCCCCGCCGGGGGCTCCACAGCGGGATTGTCCCGAGGGGAATCCTCGGGATCGCGCCCCGGATCCGGCATCCAGGGGATCCCGCAGGGACTGAGATCCTGAGCCTCCATCCCACGGAGAATTCCCACAGAGAATTCCCATCCTGGATCCTCAGGGACTGAGATCCTGAGCCTCCATCCTACGGAGAATTCCCACAGAGAATTCCCATCCTGGATTCTCACATCCAGCCCCTCAATCCCATGGAGAATTCCCATGGATCATTCCCATCCTGGATCCTCTGTCCAGACCAGATCCAACCCCTTGATCCCACAGAAAATTCCCAGGGCTGATTCCCGTGGACAGTTCCCATGGATAATTCCCAGGGATAATTCCCAGGGATAATTCCTGTTCTGGGGATTTTTCCAGACCAACAGCAAGGCCTTCACTGCCAAGACCTCGTGTGTGCGGCGCCGCTACCGGGAATTCGTGTGGCTGAGGAGGCAGCTCCAGAGGAACGCCGGATTGGTGTGAGAATTCCCGGGATACAACCCCAAATCCCAAATCCTGAACCCCAAACCCCAAATCCCAGTCCCCAAACCCTGAGCTCCAACCCCAAACCCAACCCCCAAATCCCGCAGGCCGGTCCCGGAGCTGCCGGGAAAATCCGCGTTTTTCCTGGGAAGCGCCGATGAATTCATCGAGAGGCGGCGGCTGGGCCTGCAGCGCTTCCTGGAGAGGTGGGAGCGGGGTCTGGGGTGTGGGATTTGGGGTGTGGGGTTTGGGGTTTTGGAGATTGATATTTGTGGTTTGGGATTTGGGGTTTTGGAGATTGGGGTTTGGGGTCTGGGGTT